GTTTCACCCTTGCTGATGGTTTGAACTTAGGACTTACGGTGACAGAAGCATCAGGAGTGATGTCTCTTTGTGCACTCTTTGGACTTTGACTTACCTGTGAGGATGGTGCTGTCACAACTTCTTGTGCTTGGACCTCAGCTTCTCTTTGACTTTGTGGTTCAGTATCCAAGATTGGAAACTCACCATTGTCATCCTCATTTGTTACTAGAGTAGGTGAACCTGTGTTATCTATAACCACATTGATTGATTCCATTAAAGAAGAAGTTCACAAGTTATAGACTCGAAAAGCCCTACTAGTGGTGGAATACCCTAGAAAAATACCTTCATCACTTTGGGAGTGAAATTTGCCCAAAGGCTTTCTATCTTTGAAAATGTAACACTTACTCCAAAAAATTTTGAAGTATTTTACATTAGGTTTCAAACCCTTCCACAATTCATATGGAGTTTGTAAAGTGTCGGGCCTTAAATACACGCGATTTATGACATAAACAACAATATTTAGGGCTTTGGCCCAAAACTTTGGAGGAAGTTTCTTACTAAGGAGCATGACCCTAGCCATTTCTTGAACAACTTTGTTCTTCCTCTCAACCACTCCATTTTGTTGTGGAGTAATAGGTGCAGAAAATTCATGCTTAATTCCATGCATATCACAAAAATCCAAAAACGCACTGTTTTCAAATTCACGACCATGATCAGTTTGGATTCTTATGATACGCCCAATGGAAACACCCTGTTCATTTTGGATTTTAAGGACTAAGGCCTGGAAAGCATCAAACGTATCAGATTTTTCCCTTAAAAAATTTACCCACGAAAAACGAGTAAAATCATCAAGAGCTAAAAAAATGTATCTTTTACCTCCAATGCTTTCAATGCGAGTAGGTCCCATTAAGTCCATGTGAACCAATTCAAGAGGACGTTTGGTTATAAAGCTGTTCACCTTTTTATGAGGGGCACGGGTTTGTTTCCCAAGTTGACATGGTCCACACACATGATTCAGATTCTTACCCAATTTAGGTACTCCTCTCACAAGCTCTTTGTTGGCTATCTTAGTTAGGTCTTCGAAATTCATGTGACCTAATCCTTGATGCCACAAATCAATGTTACTTATGATGGCTAAGTCACAAGTAAGATCATTAGTAGTAACAATCCCATAGCAGTTATCAGATGTGCAAACTCCATGCAAGACAGTATTTCCCTTTTTATCCAAAATTTCACATTTATTTTTTGAAAACAATACTTCATGATGGGAATCACACATTTGACTAATGCTCAAAAGATTTGCTTTAAGTCCATCAACAAGTAGAGCATTTTCCAGCTTGGGAAGACCAGCAACACTTATAGAGCCCTTACCAATGACTCTAGAAGTGCCGCCATCTCCAAAGGTAACAATTCCTCCTTCATATTTTTCAAGGGAGGTGAAGTAGGATTTGTTACCGGACATGTGATGAGAGCACCCACTATGAAGATACCACATGTGTGAGTCACGTGCTTTTAGAGCAGTGTGAACAACTAAACAAGTCAAATCATCTTTTCTTACCCAAATCTTTTTGGTCTTGGTAAATGTCTTGGCATTGTAAACACCCTCATGAATCTTGGTATTCAGCCTAGACATGTAAGGTTGTCTCTTAGCCCAAAAAGTATTCGAATTTCTACCCTTTTGAGACACCTTACCAAAGAATTCAAAGCAATAAGGATGAATGTGGCCATACCTACCACAGTGATGACAAATAAAAACGGGTTTTACCTCCTTTTTGTTGATCTTACCCCCTTTAGGTAGATGAAAAGAAGGATCACCTTGGTCTACCTTCAACTTTCCCTTTGCTTGAGTCTTCAAATCATGTGAAGTAGAGGCCTGTCCCTTGTGAGCTGTCGCACCATAGCCTAGCCCACTTTTGTCACAACCCATTTGTTGAGACTCGAGGATGTCTTCTAAAGATTTGGAACCTTTGTTCCACATGGAAATAGTGGCTCTAGCAATACGGAGTTCTTCATCTTTCTAACAGACTATCTCTTCCAATGTAGCATGTGACATCTCAAGACTTTTAAGCTTCTCTTCATATGTGGAATACACTTTCAGAAGTTCATTCCTTTCAGTTTCACAGGATAGAAGTTTTTCACATAAGTCTTGCCTGTCACTTGAGATCTCGATGACATTCTGCTTTGCTTCTACAAGTTCTATTTTTAGCTTGACATTCTCACTTTCACATGCTTTGAGCTTGAGAGAGAGTTTGTCATTGTTTTTGGACAAATTCAAAGAGTCCTCGTAAAGCTTTTCGTAAGCTTGTTGTAGTTCATCACCATTAATCTCTTCATTGTCTTCTAATGTTTCATCATCCTCTTTTTGCTCTTCATTCTCCTTGACCTCATCCAATCTAGCAACTAAGGCAGGAAAGTTGCTGGATGGTGGTGAAGATGAATCTCCTCTTTCATGAAATTGGCTCAGAATTTCCCAAGCATCTTTAGCCTTTGTGCAGTGAGCAACCCGTTGCTGTTCTTCATCCGAAATTGCTCCACGAATAGTAATCAGGGCTCTCTGATTTCTCGAATTATCAGCACTTTCTGTATCTTCTTCAATGGCTTGCCAGCCTTCTGGGTCAAAAGCTCTTAGAAAAGCCCTCATTCTGATCTTCCAATATAGGTAGTTACTCCCATCAAAGGTGGAAGCATGATGCAGGTTCTGACCACGAGCTAATTCCGCTGGCTTTGGAAAAGGTTGAGTGAAAGTGGACCAAAATGCCATGAAAGCACTATCCTTGTCTTCTTCAGATTCAAGTTCTTCGGGTTCTTGCTCCGACCTGCTTTTATCATCCCAAGTCACAGTGTAGACTTTCTTTCAATTCTTTTTCGAAGGACATTCAAGGGCAATATGGCCAAACCCTTAACATTCATAGCACTTGACCCCTTGCCCCTTTACAATCTTCTTTTCAGTTTTTGGAGCAAGTTTTGGTGGAAAAGTTTTGGGTTTATCATTACTCTTGTCTTATGAAATAGGGTCTCTGAAATTAGGCTTCTTTTTCTTCAAATTTTTTTAAAACTGTTTAGTAAACATAGCCGTCATCTCAGACTCTAAATCAAATTTAGTCTCCGGAGTTTTTGCAGTCTCATGAGCACTAGTGAAAGCCACACTATCTTTTTGTTTTTTCTTTGAAACCTGGTGGGCTTCATAAGTCTGCAAGTTTCTAATCAACTGATCAAGCTTGAGGGTATCAACATTCTGAGCCTCCTCAATGGCTGTCACTTTTGATTGGAACCTCTCCGATAAAGACCTCAAAATTTTTCCAACAACTTTAGCTTCAGGGATTTTTTCACCGACTGTGAAACAGGAATTCACGATATCACTAAGTTTTGCATAGAAATCATCAAACGTCTCATCATTGCGCATAAAAAGGGTTTCAAAGGCGGAGGTGAGACGTTGAAGTTTTGACCTTTTGACAGAAGTAGTACCTTCGTGAATCGTTTCAAGAATGTCCCATGCCTCTTTTGCTACCTCACACGTGCAGATACGACAAAACTCTTCAGGTGTGACGGAGCAAAACAGGGAATTGAGAGCCTTACTGTTCCAACTCGAGTTTTGGTAATCAGTTGTGTCCCATTCATCAAGGGGTTTAGGAATATCAACACCATCAATGGTGACAATAGGTTCACTCCACGCATAGATCACGCAGTGCCAAACTTTCTCATCGATGGATTTTTAAAAGGCTCTCATACGAGCTTTCCAATAAGAATAGTTTGTACCATCGAGTAAAGGAGGTCTATGGGTCGAGTTACCTTCACGAATAGAATCCATATCACTAGTCACACAAAATCACACTCCTATATTTTCTACATGGTTATGACACCCCCATACAGTGTCCTCTACAACGTTATGACACCACCATCCAGTGTCTTCACCAATGGTCTGACACGACCATACAGTGTCACCTATCCTTTTTTATTTTTATGTATTTTCTTGTTTTGTTCCTCTCTTTAAACTTATGTTGGTTAGTTTCTATCGTCCTTGAGTTTGCGGGGGGCTGTTAGAATTTACCATCACCTACCACCAATTTACCATCACCTACCACCACCTACTCCTCACCTACTCCTCACCTACTACACTCACCCTCTCCTATATAATGAGCTACTCACCATTTGTAATATACACAACAATATATATCAATCAATAATACATAAATTCTTACAATTGGGAGCAAGATCAGTTGGTGGAGCTATTGGGTTTTTTATATGAGTTGCGAGTGGGGGAGGGCAGGATTCTTTGGCATGGGGGTTTCCTAGGGCTAAGGGCATGTTTTCTGTATCTTCTTATTATGGTATGCTTGCTCATGAGGGGGCTGTTGCTTTCCCTTAGAAGTGTGTTTGGGTTTCGGGTACGCCATCTAAGGTGGACTTTTTTGTGTGGACGGCCATGTTGGAGCGTATCTTGACTAGAGATAATTTAATTCGTCATGGCCATATATTGGTTAATTGGTGTTGTTTGTGTTGTGGTGATGCGGAATCGTTAGATCATTTGCTAGTTCATTGTCCAGTTACTTCTCGCCTTTGGATTTTAGTGGTTGCGACTTTTGGTTTGGCTTGGGTGCAGTCGGATTCGGTTAAGGTAGTCATGCAAAGTTGGGTGTGGGGTCGAGTCGCGAGGAGGTGTCAAAAGGCGTGGATGCTTGCTTCTCATTGTATTCTATGGTTGGTTTGGTTGGAGTGGAATAGGCGTATTTTTCAAGGGATGTCTCATTCAGCACCTTGGTTAGAAAGACGACTACTTACAGTTTTACATAGCTGGGTGACAAGTTCGTTTGATCCTGATGTTTTGGCTTTTGTAGATTTTGTGGAAGATTTGATTTGTTACTCTGTGGAGCCTCTATGGCTTCCATTTTTGTACTTTTTGCATCATCTTGATGCTTTTTAATAAAGTATGGTTATTTATCCAAATAAAAAATAAAAAAAAACTAATAATCCTTACACATGATGAAAAATCTAAAAACAGATGAAGCTTTAACATAGCAAGTTTAACATGCGAAAACCATAATATCTAAAACCATGAATAAAAAATAAAAAAGACCAGAATTGACAATTACATCATCAAGTGCCTGAGATTTTTGATCCAACTCCTCATTTAGTTCATTCATCTTTTTCTCTGCAAGAGGAATTGTTTCCTTGCCAATTTTAGCATATTCTTCATATACCACACGAAGCTTGTCTAACTGCTGGAAGTAGGAATCAGCATTAGAGGACTCCACAGCCAACACTTTCATATGCTCTGCAGAACTTGCAGCCTTCACCCTTTGCTGTGATGCACAAGTAAGTCTGAATCAATATTAGCGAAAGCCCAGAAGAGGCAATGGCAAGAGGAACATTAAATCATCCATGAAAAAGTTGTGCAACAAGCTAATAATGAAATTTATCAACCTTTCTAACAAAATCATCTTCCTCTTCAGCTGAGAAAGGGCGCTCACAGCAAGGACAAATGTGATGAGCACGGGCAACTCTTTCGAAAGGATCAAACATTTGTCGCATACCATCAGCAATGTTGTATTTGCTGCACGCAACATGACAAAAAAAATTAAACAAGTGAATAGGAAACTTAGTTATGAACGAATGATGCTAAAATGAGTTGCAAGATCGTGCATCGTCCATGAAATAAATTCAAAACCAAGTACCTTTTTTGCACATCTCTTTTCTCTTTAGCCGAATCAAAAACTTGGAGATAAGAGTCAATGCTAACATACTGCTGATCCAAGAACTGGACTTTTGATTCAATAAATCTCTTTTTGGCTGCATTCCAATCACAAGAATAAATTAATGAATCTCACTGAATGGCAAATTTCAGAGTCTGCATGGAAAGAGGAGAATTGGAAAGCTGCTAGCAAAAAAAAACTAGTGGCAATAATATGTTTCCATTCTTGAGTTGCTGTGGACAAGTTGCTTCTACAAGTTTGACAGCATATAGGTTAGAATTTGTAAAAATTTATGTATTATTGATTGATGTTTATTGATATCAATTACAATGATTCATGAAAAAAAAAAAAAAAAAAACTAGAGGCAATAATATGTTTCCATTCTTGAGTTGCTGTGGACAAGTTGCTTCTACAAGTTTGACAGCATATAGGTTAGAATTTGTAAAAATTTATGTATTATTGATTGATGTTTATTGATATCAATTACAATGATTCATGAATCCTATATATAGAAGAGGGTGAGTGTGTAGTAGGTAAGGAGTAGGTGAAGTGGAGATGGTAGTAGTGTAGTGGGTTAGGTTTAGTGGAGTAGGTGAGGTGGTAGTGGTGTAGTGGATGATTTTTTCACAATTTTTAGCTTGAATTTTGGTATCCCACAAAACCCTCTTCTCCTTTGTTCTTCCTTCAATTTTCAAGCCTTGAGTTCCTTCCCCACCCCCCCCCCCCCCCCTCTCTCTCTCCCTTTTCTTGATTCTGTTTCTATCAGTTGGAAGAAAAAGTGATCTGCAGATAGTGTTTCATTATATGTTTGTCATCAATATTCTCCACTATATAGAAATCATAAATGTACAATTAATGAATTAGTAATCGATGCAGCAAAATAAAATTAAAAAGATTGATTACTTAATTGATAAGATCATCCTCAAGAAGGTTGAAAAGGAAACATCATATCTATTTTTCCATTAGATATGTAAACATACATGAATGTGTTACTACCAAGCACATCTCATCCCAGATTCTTCATTACAACAAAATTATAAATACAAAAGGAATAACAGCAACTCCAAATCTAGAAAAACGAAAGCCTTGACAGATAACTTTAATCAAGAGAGGAATGAGGCTCACAATCCATATCCTTGTGAAGTTTGGACAGGTTATTATTAACTTCTTGTATTTTCATCTGTAACATATTCACCTCCTTTTCAGCTTCACGAGATTTTGAGCTCAAGTCGTCAAACTCCATTCCAAGAGCCCTGCACTAAAGAAAGTATATTATGACATATGGAGTCATAATGTATTCAGAGAATGGAAAAATGTAAACAAAGTAGGAACCATCATGTCCGTCAGCCTACAGACTTAAAACTCTTGAAATACTTTTTTTCTTTTTCTCGCTTTGCTATCATTCAGAATATGTATCGATGCATATATATATTGGATTGCAACATGAAAATTGTTTGGTCTCATCAAGATGTTGAGCAGTAGTATCATGGCTTAGCTTTTATGTTTCTCTAAAATTACGATTATACCCACATTTCCATTAAAAAATGGAGTTGCTGAATTAAGAAGACCAAAAAGAGAGGGAGAGAGAAAGAAAAGAAACAAAAAAGATATGGAACATCAGACTGACAGAGGGATCTCTTCTAACTTAATTATAGTTTTTGTATAGAACTGACTATTGAACTCTCATTCTCAACTCATGCTTATCCTGCACCTTTTTTTTTTTTTTTTTTTTTTTTTTTGAACAAGGGCTTGTCCTAGTGATGTAGTAGAATAAATAGGTTAAGTATATGTTAAATAGCCTATTATCTGTAGTCTATAAATACGTGATGTAATACTCATTGTACTTGGCTTTTGATTAAACAATATACATTGTGAATAGAGTTGAGCTTGGTTTCTCTCTCTAGCCCTTAGGGCTTTTACCCGTAATTGGGGCATTTGTGTTCTTTCTATCAATTTCATTCTTGATTTGCTTATGGATTGCATTATCTAGGATCAGAGCTTCAAGCTCAGATCTTTTGGTTCCTATTTCATCCAACGATTTTAGGAAATATTCATTTAGTTCTTAGGCCCTAATTTTATCCTCTATTTACTTCCCTAACAACATTGGTGTTGAATCTGGTTCAGATTCTGGTGTCAGGACTCCTTGTTTGCCATTTGCACCAAATCGCTATTGGAATTAAACAAGGGAATCGAGTTTGATTAAGTTGATTCGAACTTCATCACGAGTGTTAGAGTTGAGATTTTGCTCATTTCGAACCATAGTTGTTGGTTAGAACTTGAAATCGAGCATCTTGAATGCAGATCTAGAACGAAAATCGAATTTCATGAGTTCAAATCTAAGGAGAAATTTAACTTCGCAAACTCAGATCTGAGGGAAAATCGTTCTTTGTTTCATCAAATCGACTTCAATCTGAAGTCCTAGTTGTGATCCGGACATGAATCTGAAACCCTAGAAGCAATCTGAACTCGAATCGAAGGTCTTGGATGAGATTCAAAAACTCAATTCGAATACCAGATCTGGAAGCAATGTGACTCTGGATCGACTTCAATCTGACCATATAGTTGAGTTGCGATCTCGATTCAATTGTTCTTGCCAAGATCTAAACTCAAATCAAACTCCAGGTTGAAGATCTGAACTCGCGTATCCAAAGGAATTCGTAGCTTCATGTGCCTTGGTGTGTTGCGCTCCAGTTTTCAGGAATCATCATCCAAAAACTAGCCTGGTTTGATTGACCCACAAAGAATTTCAGTCATAGCACTTGGTTCGTTGCTCTTTGATCCTATTCTTCCTTCGACAAGTGTTCATCTCGATTGCAAACACGATTAGTGCTCTAGAATGTCGAATGTTGCAATCTGACTGTCACAACCCATGCAAGCCCATCACAAACACAAGTCGACTTTGCACCACCTGTTTCGCTTCGCACCCCCCGTTTCGCAATGATGTCAACTTTGCAACATGATTTCAATCAAGATTTGACTCGAATCATCTCAATTTCATTTCGCAAGTTGGGTACCCTTCACATAATCATGATTTGCGATCTCAGTGCTCAGTGTTCTGGTTGTCCCTAGGTTGACTCTCTAGTTCAAAGGTTTGGTTTCTTCTCTTGCGGTCAAGAAATCAGATTCAAATCCCTAGATTTCCTTTCGCAACTTTGATCTAGATTTTGTGTTGCATTTTCTCAGTTGATCTCACATTGCAATTACTTGGGGTTCTTCATTACAGTCAGCTTGGCGATTTCAATTTAGTCACCAAGAGCTCCAATGTGCGATTCCAACTTGATATTCTCCGACTAAGTCATCTAAAGCTTGATCTCGACTTTGAATTCTCCGATAGTGCTGACCACATCTCAAATATGATTCTTCTTCATGATAATCCTCCTTCTGATGATCTACACTTTGAATCAGTTGCGGTTTAGGTCCTCATCTTTCGCTGCAAGATCATGACTCTTGAATTTGAAATCAAAGAAGCATTCTGATTTGTTGTTTTTGCATAAATTTGACTCAATGAGTGAGTTTAAGGTTCCTTGGATTAAACAAGACCTGAGGCAATACAATGCACTTTTGTCTATTGTTTGTATCATTGGCTTATCAAAGATCAGGGTTGTAGGGTGGGCCAAAATAGAGGATCTGTTGCAAATATTAGGTGAAGATACTGTGATGATTCTCTCACATGGAAGGAGCAATGATGCAAATCCAAATCAAACTCATAATCAGCGAGTTGAGATAAAGCAAATAAATTTTGCTTTAGACCGTCTTTGAAGCTCGATGTGTGTGTTTCTTGCTTCTATATGCCTCTATAAGATGTTGGCTTGAGTTGAGTACATTGCAGGTGTTGATGCTCATTTGACTATTGTGTCTGTAATGTAGAATTCTCGCTCCTAACTAGCTTCTCTCACGTGGCTCTTTCTAGTGGATGCATAGTGGATCCTTTCATCTTTTGCCACATTCCTCAACCTTGCTTTGGAAGCTATCTGTTTGCTAGTCTATTGATCTCATTCCAACCGACTGAGTACATCTTTGCACCAGTATGCCGAACAGAGATGCAGGGCTCGGGAAAATAGAGGTTTGTCCAAGCTATAGCAAGAAGGTATGGCATAGGCATGATGGGGAATGTCAATTTGCACCTATGGTTGTTTAGCTAAGGATATGCAATTCCAGGTATTCAAGGAAAGAGGAGTTGTGAGAGCGATGTTTGTGTTGAGTATGGAAATGAGATGCAATGCCTATTCCTCACCTACATTGAGCTTCACTTAGTTGCTACTTAAACTTGAGGACAAGTTTCTTAAAGAGGGAGAGTTTGATGTAGTAGAATAAATAGGTTAGGTATATGTTCAATAGCCTATTAGCTGTAGTCCATAAATAGGTGACATAATATTCATTGTACTTGGCTTTTGATTAAAGAATATACATTGTGAATAGAGTTGAGCTTGTTTCTCTCTCTAGCCCTTGGGGGTTTTACCCCTAATTGGGGCATTTGTGTTCACTCTCTCAATTTGATTCTTGATTTGCTTATGTCTGATGTAGTAGAATAAATAGGTTAAGTATATGCCAAATAGCCTATTAGTAGTAGTCTATAAATAGGTGATGTAATACTCATTGTACTTGGCTTTTGATTAAAGAATATACATTGTGAATAAAGTTGAGCTTGGTTTCTCTCTCTAGCCTTAAGGGTTTTACCCTAAATGGGGCATTTGTGTTCTCTTTCTCAATTTGATTCTTGATTTGCTTATGGATTGCATTGCCTAGACCTCATAAGAGTATTCTATGTTAGCTAAATACATTTCCATCAATTGTTGAAATACACATGGTGCCCAAGCCTTTCAAATTTGTCCTTGCTCTCCATAATCCAAACATAATAATGTATCAACATTTCATCAAGATCATCTTTGCAGGCCCGGAGTCTATGATGGGACCCAAGAACAAGAGAAAATTTAAAGAGAGAGGAACCCTAAGGTTCTAAAGAGAATATCAATCAATCAATTAGCACATATCAAAGTTAGTTACAATTGATCTCTAATTCACTAGATATAGGCTACCAACCAACAACCCAAACTAAACATTACATGTTAGGCACATGTCCTACATCATACTCTCCCACTCGAAATAACTTGTCCTTAATTGAAGATGAAAACAAAGTACAACCAATGCAAAAGAAATGAACACATTTGTGCAAGAACCTTGAGGATACGTTTCCTTGCTCAACATAACTGAAACAAGATCCCCCACTTCAAATCACACTTTCCTTTTTATGTACATCAACAGCCGATTTGAATTTGGCATTGGACTTTTCAATTTGGGATTTAATTTGAGCATGAACATTCATCATGAAAACAGTCAGCCCCTCTGCTTTAACGCTTCCCTTCCTTGAAATGGGCAAAGAAACCAAGTCCACAACACTTGAAGGCTTCATCCCATAAACCACTTCAAAGGAAGAAGTGTTAATGGTGCTATTAAGTGATGAGTTGTAAGCAAACTCGGCTAACGGAAGAATGCCATCCCAACTCTTGGGATTATCTCCCACAAGACACCTCAACAAGTTGCCAAGACTTCGATTTACCACCTCCGTTTGGCCATTGGTTTGAGGATGAAAAGTAGTGCTAAAATTCAAATCGGTACCAATTTTCTTCCACAAGATTCTCCAACAGTGAGAAGGGAACTTAACATCTCTATTGGACATAACAGAGGTAGGCACCCCATGCAACTTATAGACTTCCTTGAAGAAGAGGTTAGCGATGTTTGTAGCATCCATGGTCATCTTGCAAGGAATAAAATGTGCCACATCTTGGAGATGCGATCCACTACCACTATAATAGAATCACTACGCCTTTATGTAGGAGGCGAACCCAACACCAAGTCCATACTAATGCATTGCCAAGAACCATTGGACATGTTTGATTGGGTGGATTAGAGCATGGGATTGGGATTATTAATCCGTGGGCCCAATTATCCTATGTTTGTTTTAATATTTTGGTTTAGGATTATTAATCCAATAGATAATTAATCCAACAAATTTGTAGGATTATTAGTAATGGGATAAGGGTGGAATTATTAATCCAATGGATATTAATCCAATTGGATAGTGAATACTACACTAATTTAATAGAATTATTAATACTTCACTATTAATCTTGTGAATCAAACATGACCATTCAGTACTGGTAAAGGCACATACAAACCCGCATTAGTTGCAGTCTCTTTACTTCCTTGACAAATTTGACACCGTTTCACGTAATTTCACACATCCTTGGTCTCA